AGCCCAAGTCCCGCGAGTGCCCCCTTCGAAATATACAAATTTTGAAACTGCGTTGGTTGCCCTTTCGTTTAAAAATGGTTTGACAACTCGCAATTCGGGTGTTCGTTTCGAAAAAGCCGTTCTAAGTACAACGCACAGTCGAAATACGGCAGTATCGTAAAAATCACATAGTTGCAATCTTATTATTTTTCTGGAGCCCAAGTCCCGCGAGTGCCCCCTTCGAAATATACAAATTTTGAAACTGCGTTGGTTGCCCTTTCGTTAAAAAATGGTTTGACAACTCGCAATTCGGGTGTTCGTTTCGAAAAATATTTTCTAAGTATACCACGTAGCCAATTCGCCTCTAAACTCATAAATATCTAATAGTTTTAATCTTATTATTTTTCTGGAGCCCAAGTCCCGCGAGTGCCCCCTTCGAAATATACAAATTTTGAAACTGCGTTGGTTGCCCTTTCGTTTAAAAATGGTTTGACAACTCGCAATTGGGGTGTTCGTTTCGAAAAAGCCGTTCTAAGTACAACGCACAGTCGAAATACGGCAGTATCGTAAAAATCACATAGTTGCAATCTTATTATTTTTCTGGAGCCCAAGTCCCGCGAGTGCCCCCTTCGAAATATACAAATTTTGAAACTGCGTTGGTTGCCCTTTCGTTAAAAAATGGTTTGACAACTCGCAATTCGGGTGTTCGTTTCGAAAAATATTTTCTAAGTATACCACGTAGCCAATTCGCCTCTAAACTCATAAATATCTAATAGTTTTAATCTTATTATTTTTCTGGAGCCCAAGTCCCGCGAGTGCCCCCTTCGAAATATACAAATTTTGAAACTGCGTTGGTTGCCCTTTCGTTTAAAAATGGTTTGACAACTCGCAATTCGGGTGTTCGTTTCGAAAAATATTTTCTAATTATACCACGTAGCCAATTCGCCTCTAAACTCATAAATATCTAATAGTTTTAATCTTATTATTTTTCTGGAGCCCAAGTCCCGCGAGTGCCCCCTTCGAAATATACAAATTTTGAAACTGCGTCGGTTGCCCTTTCGTTTAAAAATGGTTTGACAACTCGCAATTGGGGTGTTCGTTTCGAAAAAGCCGTTCTAAGTACAACGCACAGTCGAAATACGGCAGTATCGTAAAAATCACATAGTTGCAATCTTATTATTTTTCTGGAGCCCAAGTCCCGCGAGTGCCCCCTTCGAAATATACAAATTTTGAAACTGCGTTGGTTGCCCTTTCGTTTAAAAATGGTTTGACAACTCGCAATTGGGGTGTTCGTTTCGAAAAAGCCGTTCTAAGTACAACGCACAGTCGAAATACGGCAGTATCGTAAAAATTACATAATTGCAATCTTATTATTTTTCTGGAGCCCAAGTCCCGCGAGTGCCCCCTTCGAAATATACAAATTTTGAAACTGCGTTGGTTGCCCTTTCGTTTAAAAATGGTTTGACAACTCGCAATTCGGGTGTTCGTTTCGAAAAAGCCGTTCTAAGTACAACGCACAGTCGAAATACGGCAGTATCGTAAAAATCACATAGTTGCAATCTTATTATTTTTCTGGAGCCCAAGTCCCGCGAGTGCCCCCTTCGAAATATACAAATTTTGAAACTGCGTTGGTTGCCCTTTCGTTAAAAAATGGTTTGACAACTCGCAATTCGGGTGTTCGTTTCGAAAAATATTTTCTAAGTATACCACGTAGCCAATTCGCCTCTAAACTCATAAATATCTAATAGTTTTAATCTTATTATTTTTCTGGAGCCCAAGTCCCGCGAGTGCCCCCTTCGAAATATACAAATTTTGAAACTGCGTTGGTTGCCCTTTCGTTTAAAAATGGTTTGACAACTCGCAATTGGGGTGTTCGTTTCGAAAAAGCCGTTCTAAGTACAACGCACAGTCGAAATACGGCAGTATCGTAAAAATCACATAGTTGCAATCTTATTATTTTTCTGGAGCCCAAGTCCCGCGAGTGCCCCCTTCGAAATATACAAATTTTGAAACTGCGTTGGTTGCCCTTTCGTTAAAAAATGGTTTGACAACTCGCAATTCGGGTGTTCGTTTCGAAAAATATTTTCTAAGTATACCACGTAGCCAATTCGCCTCTAAACTCATAAATATCTAATAGTTTTAATCTTATTATTTTTCTGGAGCCCAAGTCCCGCGAGTGCCCCCTTCGAAATATACAAATTTTGAAACTGCGTTGGTTGCCCTTTCGTTTAAAAATGGTTTGACAACTCGCAATTCGGGTGTTCGTTTCGAAAAATATTTTCTAAGTATACCACGTAGCCAATTCGCCTCTAAACTCATAAATATCTAATAGTTTTAATCTTATTATTTTTCTGGAGCCCAAGTCCCGCGAGTGCCCCCTTCGAAATATACAAATTTTGAAACTGCGTTGGTTGCCCTTTCGTTTAAAAATGGTTTGACAACTCGCAATTCGGGTGTTCGTTTCGAAAAATATTTTCTAATTATACCACGTAGCCAATTCGCCTCTAAACTCATAAATATCTAATAGTTTTAATCTTATTATTTTTCTGGAGCCCAAGTCCCGCGAGTGCCCCCTTCGAAATATACAAATTTTGAAACTGCGTCGGTTGCCCTTTCGTTTAAAAATGGTTTGACAACTCGCAATTGGGGTGTTCGTTTCGAAAAAGCCGTTCTAAGTACAACGCACAGTCGAAATACGGCAGTATCGTAAAAATCACATAGTTGCAATCTTATTATTTTTCTGGAGCCCAAGTCCCGCGAGTGCCCCCTTCGAAATATACAAATTTTGAAACTGCGTTGGTTGCCCTTTCGTTTAAAAATGGTTTGACAACTCGCAATTGGGGTGTTCGTTTCGAAAAAGCCGTTCTAAGTACAACGCACAGTCGAAATACGGCAGTATCGTAAAAATTACATAATTGCAATCTTATTATTTTTCTGGAGCCCAAGTCCCGCGAGTGCCCCCTTCGAAATATACAAATTTTGAAACTGCGTTGGTTGCCCTTTCGTTTAAGAATGGTTTGACAACTCGCAATTCGGGTGTTCGTTTCGAAAAAGCCGTTCTAAGTACAACGCACAGTCGAAATACGGCAGTATCGTAAAAATCACATAGTTGCAATCTTATTATTTTTCTGGAGCCCAAGTCCCGCGAGTGCCCCCTTCGAAATATACAAATTTTGAAACTGCGTTGGTTGCCTTTTCGTTTAAAAATGGTTTGACAACTCGCAATTCGGGTGTTCGTTTCGAAAAATATTTTCTAAGTACAACGCACAGTCGAAATACGGCAGTATCGTAAAAATCATATAGTTGCAATCTCATTATTTTTCTGGAGCCCAAGTCCCCCGAGTGCCCCCTTCGAAATATACAAATTTTGAGTCTACGTTGGTTGCTCTTTCGATTGAAAATGATTTGACAAATAGCATTTTGGGTGTAATTTCGAAAATTCTGTTCTAAGTATACCCGTGGCAGCTTTGCCTGTATGTCATGAAAGTCGTATAATATGTATATACTTTTATTTTCCTAGAGGCCGCTTTTAAGTCCCCTGATTGCCCCATCCAAAAACTACAATTTTCAAATCTATGCTGAATGCTCTTTTGCCTTAAAATGGTCTGAAAAACATAAGTTTCCGTGTTCGTTTTGAAAAAGCCGTCCTATTAGACCAACTTTGCAGCCGCATGGCACGTAAATCGCAAAAATCGTATGGTTGATATCGTTTTATAATCCTGGAATTTAAGTCTACCGTGGCCCTTTCGGAAAACTACAGATTCCGAATTTTTATTTGATGCCTGCTCAATTAAATATAATTCGGTGTACCTACATACATTTTGTTTTTCATGCTGAGTCGTCCCTCCAAAATGTTCTTTATAGTAGAATCATCCTTATTGTGTCTACTAAATTATGTGGGGTGTTAAATTGGATTTGTTTTAACTTTTAATAACTAAGGAGGATTGTTATTTGTAATGTTCATTAACAGGTAATTGAACAATTAATGATATATCCCCTTTTTTATGTGTACTGGCAGTATTGGGACATACAATTGTATTCAAAAATATTTGTCATCAAGTTATTCCAAGAATACTAAATGTTATTTTTTAAAAGCTATTTGTAAAAGTTTGATAATTATTAATTTAAGATCATTATGCAAGGTCTTTAACACATAAATATATATAATCTAGTTAATTGTTATTCATTCTATGATTAAATGTTTAAGCTCGTTCCCCATTGTTGACCCTGTAGTTTTATCAAATGTTAAATTAGTTTTGAATATTATTATAGACCATTGGTGGGTTATTGTCGGATAATATAAATTTTTTCCTTAAAGCTGATTTGATTTGACTGTTTGGAACGCACCTGTAGATGATCTTAATACTTTTTGTAATAATTGTAGGTTTAGGGTTTTCTATTCTCATTTTGGTACAATATTTTTGTCTATTGATGCCTATATTTACATTATAAGATGTATATCACTTGCAGTATATATTTACTCAAATTAGATTTATTTACTCAAAATAGTAAAAACAATAGCTGTTTTTGAAATCCAATATTTGCAAAAAAAAATTTTAATTACTATCAATTTTTATGGAATTATAATCATAGTAGGTAGTTCAGAATTTTGTTTGTTTTATTAATTGCATTAATATAGTATGACATGTCACTTATTAATATTTAATAATATTATAATCTTAATAATTATAATAATTATCATTCTTCCATCTTGAATTAGGTAGGTATATCTGAAAAATAAATATTTTTGTTAAGACTCCTAGTAAGATATGAATAGGCAATATAGTATACAGGAATACGGTTACCTACCTTATCAGAATTGATAACTGCTAAACGTCCGGGAGCTAACTTCACAGACATGCGGCCAGCCGCAACGATTTTGCCGAACGATTGATCGTTGCGTGTGTACTGGTTTCCTACAAGACGACTGAATGCTGCGGCTGGCATTTATTTTCAGTTTAGCTCAATATTTCAATGTGCACACACGTATTTATTTAATTTGTCGTAACAAATCACTAAAGATGGAACAAGTAATTATAAATAACAATAAAATAATCATACATTTATTAGAAGAGGAGGAAGAAGAAGAAATAATGTATACTTCAAATGCATACAGGAAGCCAATAAGTAATTTATTTAAAACAAGAGAAAAAGAAGGCTTCTTTAAAGTTTTAATAAATAGCCACTTAAGAGAAAATAAAAATAAATTTCGCGAATTTTTTCGGCTAAATTATGATCAGTTTCATTTTATATTAGCATTAATAAAAGACGATTTAACATTACCTGCATCAAACAGAATAAAAAATCCAATTTCGCCCGATGAGAAATTAGCTGTTACTTTAAGGTAAATACGTAATTTTTTTATTAATCAATAATAATTATGGCACAATTGTAGTTTAGCTACCTATCGATTTTTATTAAATATATATTTTTTAAATGTTTGTTTTTGTATGGTTAATTTGATGGTACACGATGGTCATTTGGAAGTTAACATTAAAAAACTTCAAAATTTATGTTTCCGAAAATCGTATTTAAAAAAAGAAAAGATACCTACTTAGAATTGAATATTTTCCAATTTGTTTTAGATTGTTTTAGAAAATCGAATTTGGTTTTTGGTGTAACTTTAAAACAAATAAATGTAGAAACATTAAATTTTGACTGGTTGTTTATATTTGCCTTTTCTATACACGATAACATTTTCAAAATATTTTGATTTATTTTGAACTGTTTAGGGACATTTTCATTTTCCATTTTTTTTTAGTTTTTTTTCTAAAAATATCAATAAAACTTTGTTTTTTGAGTAGAAATACTTGAAAATTTAATACAAGGTTCCTACTATATTGTTACAAAGGCAGATGAAAATATTAAAAATCCTTAGTCACAGTTTTTTTTATAAGCATTTAAAGTTCAAAAATTGAGAAAATATGAAAAAATCACGAAAATTATCAAATTATTTTGAGTTAAGAATTCGTAAAAATTTTTCTTGAAACTGGGCACTTAAAACTTGTAATTTGTACTATTATATATCTATGATAGTATCACGGTTTGTTGTTGATGTATAACGCGTTATAAGTACTTAATGGATATTGTGATAAGATTAATTTGGAATTTATTATAGGTACCTATGATAGGTCATTTTTTTTTTAATACCATAGATATGTATATAATATGTTTTAAACCTAGACTGACTTACCGTCTCCGCTCAGAATCGTTTTTCTTATACAATGATATTATATCATTGAATTCAAATTTAATACCAGCCATTAAACAGTGACCCACTTGTAACCTACTGTACAGCAGAGCGACATCCACTTGCCCACCTTTTTTTAAATGTGTGGTTTTTAACGATCAATAGTTTGGTAAAATCAAAACTTACCTTTCATACATAATTTTGAAGTTTTTGCACGTAAATCTTGAAAAATAACCTTTTCAAATTTAATCTAAAAATTAAGTATGATAGGTAAATTTTGATTTTACTAATCTATTGACCGTTAAAAACCACACGTTTAAAAAAATATTCAATTCTTAGTATTTTTTAAAAAAAAAATACGGGTAAACTAACGAAAAAACTGTAGGTACTTTTTGAAGTTCTTCACAGATAACTTCAAAACAAAGTTTGTCCGACCTTTTTTTTACATTCTTATAAAGCATGCAAAAACACATTTTAAAAAAAAAGTTAAAAAATTGATAGGTAGTCAAACTGAATTATGTCATAATTATAATAAATATATCAGTGGCGTTTCAAAAAAAATGTCTACAAGACAAATTTTAATTTTTTATTGTAACTTTCTGCAGATATCTTGCTACTGGGGAATCATTTCGGTCACTTTCTTTTGCGTTCAGAATTTCACATAGTTACATTAGTGTCATCGTAAAAGATACACTTTCGACGTTGAAAAAACACCTTATGCCAATTTTTCTACCCGATATCTCAACTATCGACTTAAATAAAAAAGCATCAGAGTTTTGGACTAAATGGAATTTTCCAAATTGCGTTCTAGCTATAGATGGAAAACACGTTCGAATTAGATGTCCAGAAAAAACAGGATCGCTGTTTTTTAACTATAAAGATTACTTCTCTATTGTAATGTTAGCGATGGTCGACGCCAACTATAAATTTATTGTTATTGATGTTGGTTCATTTGGCAGAGAAGGAGACAGTGGCATATTTTTAAAATCTGCTGTGGGTCAACAGATACTGGATGGATCATTTGGTTTTCCAGATAAAAAACAATTACCTGGATCTGATAAAGTATTACCTCACGTTATAGTAGGAGATGAAGCTTTTAGACTACACCCTAATATTATGAAACCATATACTCGACAATCTGCAAGACACGATAAATCAAAGGCAGTTTTTAATTATAGATTGAGCCGTGCTAGGAGGGTGACGGAAAACGCATTTGGATTGTTAAGCCAGGTATTTCGTGTATTTTATCAGCCCATTAACATTGACCCAATGACGTGTGATGATCTTATTGTAGTTGCTTGTTGTTTGCATAATTTACTACGAGAAGCATATTTAGAAGAGAATGGACAAGCATTTTTTGAGGAACGTGATTCAAGTACAACACTACAAACAAACAACCTAATACCAATAACAAGAGGTGGTGGTTTTACAAATGCAGACGGTTTTTTAGTTCGAGATTCTTTTTAGGATTTTTTTAACAATGAAGGATCTGTGTCATGGCAGGAAGACAAATAACATAGAATGTGTAGTACCTGCTTTAAATACTCACCTTGTATATATTTAATAATTTGTTATAAACAATATGTGTAATTCCTTTAAATCATTTTAACATAACATAACAATTAAAAATGTAAAAAAAAAATGATTAAAAATTATACTTTGGGTTTTTAAAATAACATTTGTTCTTTTGTTATACTTATACAACAGAAAATCTTAAAATATTTATAGAAAAAAAATTGAATCACCTTAAAACGGATACTTGTATTTTTGTTATATAATATAATAAATGTATCTTATAAGACAATATTAAAAAAAAATATATATTATTTTTGATTTGTAAAATTATTGTCATATACAAATGGTACAAATCCTTGCGAGTTTGTTGGCAAACTTTGACATGGTGTAGAACTTGACTGGGCTATGTTGTAATCATATCCAGAAACAGTGGTAGTTGAAAATGCCACTGGGGTAGGTACATGAGGATTAATTAAATACTTGTCTTCGAGTTGTGACACCGTTTTTAGAACTTGAAGTCTTGCCTAGCTTATGCCTCTAGGAGGTAGTTTTTTCACCATTGCCGCAATACTTTGGAAAAATAAATCGGTTTCGTCATTGTTTGTCACTTTATTTAAAATCGTTTCATTTTGTTTTTGTAAATTTTGAATAATAACGGCTCTTTCCAATTGACGTTTTGAAAAATCTGTCTTGTTGTACTTAGATTTAAATTTTTTGTTTGGGTTTTGAAGTTCATTAGAATTTGGGTCTTTAGTGGATTTTTCAGTGTCTTCTTCAAATAACTCACTACTTTCTTCACTTAAGGTATCCATTAAAGAACCATTTGCATTATCATTTGCGTTATCATTTGCGTTATCATTAATTGTTGTTGTAACATTCGCATTAACATTTGTCGTTGTACTGAAATATTTAATATATTTAATTGTTATTATTTGTTATTATTATTTAACTTTCTTCTAGACACTGTTTTTTATAAAGGTAGACAAACTTGTGAATAATCTTGTATTACATTTTCAAATCTTAGACTTAAAAATAAAATTTTTTATGAATTTCTAACTCAAAATAATTTGCAAGTTTTCAGTCGGTAATTTTTTTTATTTTTTTTTTCTATAAATATCAATAAAATTTTATTTGTAAAATCGTTCCACTCAGAATCTAAAACTATGATTATCGACGTATTTGTCATATTCAACAATTTATTTTATATCTATTAAAAATGTCCAAAAATTGATCTGTGTGTATCAAAATGGTGGTAAATAAGATTTTTTTGTAGAAAAAATAAATTTCAGGCGGTCAGAACCCTAGAATCCTACCCCTGCGTACGCCACTAGTAAAAATAAATAGTTTTTAATTTTTATTAAGTAGCGTTCTAGTATAAAACCTAGGTACAACACATAATAAACGAATGTTAACATTCCTACATATACCTAATATGGTTGTTAATTTGAGTAAACAATTTAAAGTATTGTTTTTGGCATAAGTTACTTACTTTCTTTCGTATTCTACGGTGTTCAAGAATGTTAAATTGTCAGCCAAAGCCCATTTCTTTTTTGACAATGCTGACGACCCAGTTCCAAGTTTTTTTTTATGTCTCATATAAGTATCGCGTATATTCCGCCAACGTTTTTTGCAATCTTCAGCTATAATACATAAGTGTTAATGGGTAAGTATTAGTAGTAAATAAGTAATATTCATAAATCGTGAGGAAAGGAATGTAAAGGCATAAAAGATTTATGCTTTAAAATACACTTTTAAAATGTGCACCTCTTTATATATAAGTATATTATATATTATATTCATACATATATATATATAATATATGTACCTATGTATTTATAATATAAATATAATTTTGTAGGTATTTGATTCAGGGTTGATTAATAGAAAAATATAGGTTAATATAAATTTTTTTATTCTTATAAATTATAATATAATATGTTGTACTTACTACATTGCCCAACAACGGTAGAAATATTGTTCCAAATTGCATCCTTATAATTCACATCTTTATGTTTCTCGTGTGAACTGTCATACAGCACACGGTTTTTGCTGACTTCTTCAACTAACAACTCATCTTGAGTTGTAGTGAATTGAGTTTTCGACATTTTTTGAAAATTCGTTGAGAATAAAATATTAAAATCGCAATGCGGCGCATGCAATACACTGCTTCCAGAGCAGTACGATCGTTGAACGCAACGACTATTTTTGACACGCTGACGTCGATCGCATATTGGAAACCACGATACCTTATTTATTTATAGAGCAGTCAATTACTTAATCGTTGCGACTAGTCGTTGCGGCCAGTCGCAACGACTAGTCGCAGCTTGGAAACCGTACCTTTAAACGTATAACGGAAGACTGTATAGTTACCTTTTCTAGATGAGATATACTTTTCGCATGCAGGGAAATATATATACAATTAAATATTCCAATTTTCTAATATACCATACCCGTAAGTCCATTCTCTTAACATCATTAATCTATCTAAACTTAAATTACCTAATTCTACATTTAAATTATATACACTATTATTATTATAACTATAAATAGGAGTACTACGAATATTATATACAGTATTACTTAAGTCTAAATCTAAATATTCTAAATTATTAATAATAGATATAATAGGCCCCATTTTTTTTTGAAAAATTCTAAACAATAAAAGATCCCAATAATTTTTAGCTATACCTACATGAACCCCTTAATTCTAAATTTCTTATATCATAATTTATACAACGTCTTATTTTTAAAAATACATCCTCCCAATAATCCCTACTTGTATCTTGTAACCACATCACACTCCCGGATAACAAATTATCATTCCAGATAATGTGACCATGGTTGTCTACTAATTGGTAGGTTTGCTGAAATATTTTCCGGAAAAAATATTCGAAGTCACGATGCGAATATATTTTTAACTCCGGCTTGATAAAACTTAAATTTGTAATTATATTAGGGTTTAAATTTAAATTAAATTTATCGTATACAAATTCCCGCCATTCTATGCTAGTTGACATATGGTATTTTTTATGGAAATTTTTTTTTTTTCCCTGCATGCTTCACAATTCCATTCAAAATGTTGGTGATTGTCTAATGACGCCTCGCAAATACCTCTCGATTACTTCTAAGACTTTAAAAAATAAAAATAAAAATAAAAATCCTGGATATAAATATTAGGCAATGATACTTACTCGATTCAGCGTCCATAGTATGCAAAGTATCGCGTTGATTCTTGCGTGTTATGAGCTACTGATACTACGTTTAGAGTACAACTAATTCTAGTTCGTAATATATGTTTTTGATGAGAAAAAGTATATTTCTATAACTATGAAGAGCATTGTCTATGAACTATCGTGATCAGACAAATTTTTACATTATCACTATATATTTATGTTTTTGATGAGAAAAAGTATATTTCTATAACTATGAAGAGCATTGTCTATGAATTATCATAATCAGGCAAATTTTTACATTATCACTATATATATATAGTTTTATGCGGAGGAAGATTTCCAGCCTCTGCTCGACAAACTTGTAGCATGTAGTATCAGTTGTGTGGTATACATCATATGGTTTAACGAGATATAGTTAGCTATATGAAGGTGTTGTATAAAATATATATACCTGTATATATTATAAATAGGTGCAAATATTGTAGAAAGAAGAATGTTATACGTAAGGGAAAAAAAAAAAATAACGCGGTGAATAGTTGTAAAGAAGCGTTTATTAGTACCTGTATATACATCGTTAATTTATCTACAAATTTTGTACTATATTAAATATTTTAACGGCTACTTCCCTACATTCTGCTGTACCTAATACATCTTCATAATATCTAGAACCATGGATTTTTACTAACTCATCCATACTGGTCCATACCTGCAAGCGACGCCCACAAATGTCACATTTTTTAAATTGTCGTATATAACGTAGTAAGGTAGGGTCATCATATACATGCTGTGTAAAGAAATGTTTTTTAGAACTTAACATAATTTTATGTCAACTGTTTCCTCTGGGCTCAATAAATTGCTATAATAGACCCGTCTCGGTGTATTTGATAGCTACAAAATGTTAAAAATATACCAGTAGATTATTTTGTGTTAAAGTCACTGTGATAACGCACCGGAGGGCTCGCGCGCGCGTTCGCGGCGGTTCTTGGTATGGTATAGTGGCGGGGGAAATTATACCTCGCGTACGTAAGCGAACGCCAGTTAAATGAGATAGAATATACCTTCTCAAACACATGCGAGTAGGCGGCCCAGTGGTACGGTGGTCGCTTATCATGCAAGTTAACCGGGTTCGAATCACGGTCCGGCGGATAAATTTTTAAATTATTTTCCACGCGCGGCGGCAATGTCGAGCGGTGGTCATAGGTGGTGGGGTGGCGGGGGTACATCGTTAACGTGTGTGATATATGGTGGGTTCAGCAGCCGTCAATGTATAGGGATGAGCAGACGGTATAGTGGGATGAGCAGTCGGTATAGTGGGATGAGCAGACAGGTATAGTGGGATGAGCAGACGGGTATAGTGGGTTCAGCAGAGAGCAACCATGGGTTGAGCTGACGGGTATAGGGATGAGCCAGCAGGTTGAGATGTCGGAACTGTCTAATTCTACCTACTTTTAGTATTTCTTCTGTATGGTTATCTATTTGCATTACATCATCTGGTCTAAATTGTACTACTTCAGTGTTATAAGTGTCAAATCCAACTATAGAGTCTAGCTCTTCCTTAATACGCCTCTGTTTTGTTCGTTTACTCGCCATAATTCCTATGTAAATTTTTATAATAAGTTATACCCATAATATATAAATAATAATAATAATAATAATAATAATAATACTAATATAGGTACCTATAACTTTTATTTTCATGTTAAAATTTAAAAATAAAAAATAAAAATATCAATATCCATTGTTGTTACTAATGTAGGCAAACAAAATATGTAGCTCAAAATTAATTATAAATAATTACAGGGCAAGTCTAAGTAAATTTGATAGATTATATAGAATTATATATTCATGTCAATATTAACCATAAGTGTCCATAACACATCATGCTTTTCTTTGTTTATCACCATATTGTTCTCATAATTAATTATGTTGTTCATCTCACTTTATATTTATTATTTAATATTTATAATATTTTATATATTATTTTATGTTGTCTCTTCTTGCTTAAAACCTATTATTATAATACAATATTACTTGTTACTTATATGTATACACTATACTGTCATTATATTTTATTTAATGTAGTTGGAATTGTTTTCCTTGAATAAAGAATTATTATTATGATTATTAACTATAGCTGTTAAAATAAAAATAATAATTTTTTGAATATACAATCTACCTACTTATGAATTTAAAACTATAATATATAAATTTAAATCTAATTAAAAACTAATCTGTTGGTCTGGTTGTACTCAATTGTTGGAAGTAACCATATATAATAAATATATTAAATATACATAAGTTATTAATTATTATATAGTGAAATGAAAACAAATTATAAAAATATTAGTTGGAAAATAAAATAATGCATCCATAATAAGATTTTACTACTCTATACTTAATCATTTACATTTTACATTTAGATATCTGCAGACTACTAATTTTAGTAGCTGATTTAAATCTAACATATTATTAATTAATCAATACAATATAATAATATACATTGATTACTTGTAGGTAATAGTAATCAATATAGAATTGCAAAATTTGTTGTGATTTGTATAAAATACTATTTAACATTTATTTTTAATGAACAATATAATAGTGATTTAATATAAAGTTGTTTTTGAACTTAATTTATTACATTTTATGTAATTAGGTACATTAATAAATATATATCATATTATACTTACAGAAATGTTTTACGTAGGCCACAAACAATTTGTTTTCACTTTCAGTAAAAGAAATGGAGATAAAGACAGTTAAAGTACATACACTGATACACTTAAAAAAGTAACGAACGGGCAAAAATATTTCCACCTTTGTCTCGAGTTCTGGACCAATTACGAACAAGTGCGAACTGCGGACTTTAAATAAAGACGTTGTCGCAGGAATGAACAGCGAAGATTCTATCGTAAACACCGCACCGCGGTCTTAACTTTTAACAGGCATATCTATTCTGATATGCGATTAGTTCTTGACAGTTGACAGATTCTGCGATTAGTTTCCATTAACCAGAGTCCAGATTAAACCTTAATGCGTCTTTGTCTGACGGCCAGCGGTCCGCGAACGTTCGAAAATTCTTATAACTACTAATTAGGTACCTAATAACTAATAAGTTATAAGTATAATACTTACTTCATAATAAATTATTGTACATTTTAATTTTTGCTAAATTATTAGTAAAATACTATAAAATATTAACTATATTGATTAAATTGTTATATAGTGCCAATTTCCTATATAAATGCCTGATATAATTGCGTATTATGGTAATAATAATACGATTATATAATAGCGTGTTTAATGTTTTTAGAAATTATAATACCTAATAATTTATTGTATAGACGGATTCTTAGTCCTTACCAATTCGTTAATAATAATTATATTTTATTAGTACGTATTATAAATTATAATATGCCTATCTTTATATATAATTCTACAGCTAGTCTACTGTATTGTCCTGAACTCCTGAACTCCGATCGGTTGGACCTATTTGAATGATTTTTTTTGTGTGCGTTTGGGTGACGCCCCGGATGGTTTAGATTCACAAATCATCCCCCTAGGTCCAACCAGGGGATGTGCTCAAACGGGGATTTAGAGATTTACGGTGGAAATTTTTGTTTATAAATGGTTGTCATGTGTTTTAACTTTTAAATCTATTATAATAATAATTATTGGTTGCCGTGAAATCAGCGTATTCATAATTAATGTAACTATATATATATAGTGTAACTATATTAAAAGTCTATGCACCCAACAAATGAAATGTTCGCACATTGTCCACGTTCCAACGCGTAGTCGGATTGCTTACCAGGGTGGCTGAGTTGCACTTGCACTCCAAAGGAGTGAACAATCACAATTATTTTTACGGGCAACGATAAGTGCGCAGGATCAGCTAGTATATATATATATATATATAATAATTAATCTTCTTCATTTTTAAAATGCATTGGAAATATATTTTGAATAATATTTTCATCAAATATAATAATAATATCATTAAGACATATATTTGGTGATAATCTTAAAATATTTTCTAGAAACGTTTTCAACTATTTTTGAAAATATTTCAAAAATGATATTAAATAAAATATATCTTTAAAATGTTTTTAAATTATTTTCAAAGAAATGTTTTCCTTATGATGATTTAAATATATTTTTAAAATGCCATCATCATACAGAATGCTATGTGGGTTATAGGGAAAATAATTGATTGAAATTAAAAATATAAATTACGTCGTTAAAATATTACTCGGTACACCACTATCAGAGAGATAACCATGGGGGTATAACCACAGAATAAACAGAAGGGAATCGAAATACATTTTACATGGGTTCTTATGGGAGATGATAAAAACACGTCCGACATATTGGAAATTCTCCAGGGTAGCCGTATGTCGGGATATTCTTATTTGTTCATCATTTATGGCAGCACTGCTTATTTTATAAAAATTAAAAGTTGCGGCTTTTATTTTTCATTCATCATATTATATTTATATAAATGCACAGAATACTACATTTGTGATTTTTATTTTTATATATCTGATGATACAACTACAATATACAAATTGTAATAAGATTATAATAGGTATATTTCTGGCACAAGTTGCTATGTCATCCAATTACACCAAAAGTATGCCATATGACATAGTATAAACATGACATTTTTCATCAGTGGCGCTGAACCTTTTTTAAACCATTGGGGTAAACCCTATTTGTGGATACCCCCACCCTCACACCTGAGTCAAATTAAGACTCTCTCCCGGACAAGTTACCCGGTATTGTCCCAGGGCCAGCCTCTTTTCACGAAACATGTTTTTTTATATGGGTACTTATGATCAAAATTTTTTTCAAAATATAAAATTATTAGGTATACCTACTATTAAAATATTTATATTAGGTATGTAAGATAAATTAATATGTTATAGGTATAATATATAAATGTTTGTGATTTCAAGTCCTTAATGTGTAAGCTTAGTTAAATTCATTGTATTAATATTTTATTTTTTTCAAATAGTGTGAGTTTAAATGGAACATAAAGTGTGATGAATCGAATAATGTATCAACGCACAAAAAAAAACAACTTATAAAAAACAACTTTTTATTAAACAAAAAATAATAATACTTAGACATAATGATGTATTATACATTAATAATAATAATATTAACAACAGCATAATACTTGAGTAGCGTAATGCATAAGTAGTAAAAACGAAAACATGCTTACATATGTTTTAAAATTGAAAGTTTTCTATGTTTTATTACTCTTTCTGACATTAAACATCTATTTAAAAATTTAATTGAAGAAAAGATTCTAAACCGAATAAATAAATTTAATAAATAACTATAGTTAAAATTTTCACATGGATGTTTCAAACGAGTATTAATCAGTAAATCTCTTAGTTTGGCCCCAACATTGTCTTCTGTTGCCAAGGAAGAAAAATGTTCAACAAATAGACTTTCTAATTTAAAAATGTAATTATAAAACTCATCATGAGGTAATGTTAACTTTCCAAATGTTGAATTATCATTTGCAGTAGATTTAAAAAAAGATAAAAGAAAGGATGGTTCAATATTTTTTTGAAAATTGGCATAATTTAAACAATCACTGCAAGTATGTTTTTCGAGGCATTTTTTCATAAGATAACCACTGATGTAAGTTAAAGCGTTGGTTTCTGGGATATTTAATTTTCTATAGTCAACTGTACCAATTTTGATGGGATTAAATTTAAAAATACTTTGTGTTACATTACAATAAAATTAGTTTTACTGGGATTGACAATTTCATTAATTGAGGCTGACATTTCATTCATCTCATTGAATTGACATAACACATTATCTAAGTCCTCAATGCAATTTGCATCAGGAGAATGCCTAAAATATTCAACACAAAAAATCTTTTTGAATGCCCAAATAAACTGAATAGGGGTTGGGTTAGTGTTGTTACCGAGTTGTTGACGGATTGTTCCAAACAAATTTTCAAGGCAGTCTTGATTTATACGACCTGTACAAAGAGTATAATCTTTGTTTTGGTCAACGTTTAATGAATTCCACAGCATTTTCAAACCAGATATTGATACCAACCAACCATTTAAAAAGTTTACTCGTTGTGTCATGTCAGTTGCACTTAATTTACTAACAACCTTCATGTTTTTGAACATTTCAGTCATTTTGTTTAAGTGATCTAATTGATGTGAATTATTATTGAAGGGGTCATTAAAAATTTTACTATTAGGTGTATCAGAAGAATTAAAGATATCAAAAAGTTTATCCATATCATTAATGAAATTGATTGTAGGTATTGAATTGTTTGGTAAAATACCAATATTCAATGCTGTAGACATGCCTGCAGCTACACTATGACTAAATACTTGGGTTGCCAAACGAACTGTTACATGCGGCCCTTCAGGGATCCAAAAGCTTGTTGCACTTTTACAATAAAATGTAGTCAATTTTAAACATAAATCAATTGTAATTTATTAAAACCAATAATAATTAATATAGTCGTGGTGAATTGCAGCGTCGTGAGTTGACTCGTTGTAGTAGTCGATAATCTCCATGTAAGTCGTGTGTAATGGCTGGTGGCTAAACGGCTCGCTCGGTCTTGGCGGCTCTGGTACATCTAACTCAGGCTGTCTCGCTGTCCCCTATATATATGGTGGCGGCGTCCTTTGAAGTGAGCGGCGCGTGTACAGTCGCCCTTGATATGGACCTCACGAGTCACGACTATGAAAGTGGTATTCTTTAGTCGAAAACACTTTTGGGTGTGGTCGCATTCCTGGTTGTTATTTTGAGCAAATATATGATATTGCGTAATCCCAATTCTGGTTGTTATTATGAGCAAATACATGATATTGCGTAATCCCATTACACCTCCCTACCAAAAAAAAGATTGTTAACCTTTAAGGGTTAAGAATCTTTAACATCGTTAATTAATAGTTTACAATGGCTGAATTACATTGTTTACATTGACATTTAAATTTGTATACAGTTAACAATTTGATTACAGTATTACATTTGATTACAATAATGTGAACATTTTACAATTTTTTAATGTCATCATTATTATTATATTGTTTTTCATATTACAATTTTAATTGTGGTTAGTAAAATAAATTAATACATGATTTAATTAAACAAATAGTGTTAATAAGAATGATTAATAATCTTTAATAAAATAATATATGTACCTGAAATTATAACATCATAAGCGTTACGTAAGTATAAAATTCAAGTATTTCCCCTTTTATATAATAATAATATTTATCTTCCACCTATATACTAATCTTATGTGAATAATTGTTAGATTTGCCATAGACATATGCAACTATAGATTTATTTAAGGTAATTCATTATGTAATTGGATATATATTAAATGTTAATTTATTTATTTGTTTTCATTGTTTAATTTATTTTGTGTTAGATTTATTATTAATTATAATAATTTATTCATTTTTGCTTTAAAATTCCATAATTATTATTATTTTTTTTTTTGCTAATTTATATAGTTTAATGGGCTTTATCTTTGTTACTATGTAATTGAATAGGCATTTCGTTAAAATTACGTCGGCAACTGGATCGTGACAATGTGTAATATTATGATTAATATCGCATGCTAGTTCATGAGCTTCTGATAGTCCTAACATTCTACCATTTTTATTTAATTTACCTAAATAACCTGAATATAAAACTTCCTTAGTCTCTAGGTTTGATAATTCTAATATAAATTCGTCATTATTCCTAACGCTAATTGCCGATATGTTTAAATATGCTAAAATTCCTGTTAATCTTAAACGCTTAATTATCGTGATATCTGACGTTCCGTTCCAAAATACTATTAGCGGCTCCCTATCGTTTATATGCAAATATCTTTGCAAGTATACCGTAGACAAGGTTGATCCCCCCTGGTGACTTATATTTTTGTATAATTGTTCCAGCAATGGTTTAATCACTCTTGCCTTTTTCCCTCGGAATACTCGTTGGATATTCTGCACTATTTTCTTTAGGTCGCATCGGCGGAATCTTCTTAACTTATCATCCTTTGTAAGTATAAGAGGACTCCCCTCCAATTTCTTGGGTTGGTATTTTTCTAAACTATTCGATATCGCGCCGGATACCAGTAATGTTTCGTTCTTACTGACGGTAAAGAACTCGAAATCCATTATAAAAAAGCGTATCTGTGAGCTAAAATAAAATAATTATTATTTTTTTTTTTAAAAAAAACTTAAATTGGTTTTTTAGTATTTATTGCTATGTATATGATATATGATATATGATACATGATATATGATATTTGATATATGATATATGTCTCCTGAGGTTATTCTTCGAAAATCGTTTCGATGATCACACGTCTCATGATTAGTTGTTCTATTAGTAAACCCAACTCTACACACATGGGTCGATTATGATTTGGTCTTACGATAACCGCGCGTACAAAGTCATTAACATGGATCATAACTCGTGCTAAGATATTTGGCCTGAAAGGTATGGTCATGTTATTATTCGCCCTTCTTATGTGTTCCGGGAAGCAATGTAATCTGACTACTTCCCCTCGCTTTATCTGTGTATGATCGGTTGATTCAATTAATTCGTTTTTTAACTCTCTGAGAAATTCAAATGTTTGTAGTTGCATTCGAACGGTTCGTGCTACAGGTGGTACGTTCTTACCCATTTTATATTTTAAAATTTCTACGTGTTTTTTTTTATTAATTTTTGTTTTTCTTCTTAATTTCTGAAATAGTTAAAAGTTATTGTTATATAATTATAGAATATTATTTTACGTATATATATATTTTTATGCACGTAATATTATTTTATTTTATTTCATAGAATATTGTTATACGTATTATTTCTTTTATGCACGTAATAATGTTTTATTTTATTATTTACTTTCATTTATTCTTTATTTATTTAAATTATATTATTATTATTCGTTTTCCTCTTGGTATTTCCTGAAGCACAACTATTATTATTATATATCTATAATTTACATGATATATTAATTCCATTTATCCTTATTATCTGCTTATTGCTTATTTTATATTTATAACTTAGTATTTATTATTTTTATTAATATGTTACGTATTTATTTTCGTTTTGTATGTTATATTATTTTTTTGTATAATTTATTTATTATTAATTAAATTTAAAGTAAATAATTCGTTATGACTAGTGACTAGTGACTACTCTTAATAAATTTTTATTCTATTTATCTTGGCGACGGTGGTGGAGTAAAGGGTGTCTCTTCATAATTTCGTACGTATTCATTTCTATTGGGTGTCCTATATCTAACTATTCTGACGGGTAATTCCATGACTTCTGTGATCCTGATATACTTGTATTTTATCATTATATAAATTGCTATTATTAGTATAATAGATATTGATGCTAGTACTATAACAATTTACTGTGTACAAATTATATTTATATTAAACTAAAATATCTTATTATATTCTTATAAAATTAAAACCATCTTACATAATCCGATATATCTCTAGTATCGTGCAAATATCTCATATAATCTATTAATCGTTTACATGTGGGTGTCACTGGATCTGATGACATAATTAGAGTTAGAATTCGCGTAATTTTCGTTATTTCAAGAGTATTAAATGGTTCTTCCATAAAATTATTCGCGGTATTAATATGTCCTATTAAACACCTCGGCGTGTGTTCCGGTCCTAAAGTATTTGTTTCATGGATTTCTTGTTCAATCGCCTTTCCTAGTTCCACAATGAATTTTCTTTGTCTGTTCCTAAAATTAAAATTAATTTTTATCGTATTTATTTTATTTATTATTATTTTTTATTATTTTCTTTTAAATTGGTTGTATCGTGATTTCATTTATTATTTCTTTCTCCGGTTACAAAAATGAATGTTCTGTTTCTATCCCTAAAATTAATATAATTATTCTAACTTAATATTGCTATATACTTATTATTTTTTATTTTTGCTATATTTTTTTTTTTAAATTAATTGACTTGTGCGTCATTATAATATATTTCTTTTTTTTTTTTACGTTATTTCTATGTACAGTAATGACCTTGCGGCCTCGCTGTATAGCTACATTCTCGTTCCCTATAACTGCTGTGACCCGTACGGTCCTAGCCAGATTGGGTCGAGTTTCGTTCTATGATTATTATCTTTTAATAGTACTAAATCATTAACGTATAGTTTTTGTGGATTTTCATTTTTATCATAACGTTCCTTACTTTTTATTTTATTTTTTTTAATTAAATGATCTCTAGCTATCTTATGCGAAATTTGCATATTTTCTTTTAGATCGAATATATAATCGTCATAATTGTAACGTGGTTCAGGTTCGGCTTTTAATCTAATCGGTACCTCCAACGTACGTCCATATAGACTAATGCGTATGGTTGAAAATTAGTAGAAGTATGTACCGTTGAATTATATACAAAGAATGTAAAGGGTAGTAAATGATCCCAATTATTTAAATTCTTATCTACATAATGTCTTAAGTACTCGGCCAAAGTCCTATGAGCGCGTTCTACGGGGTTACCCTGCGGTCTGAATGGACTTGTGTTAACCTTTTCTATTTTTAATATTTTACAAGCATTTGCAAACGTTTTCGAGAGGAAATTAGTTCCTTGATCCGTGAGTATTGTTTCTGGTATGCCGTGTACACAAACGAAGTGTGTAACAAAGGCTTCCGCAACAGTATTTGCCTTCTGGTCAGGAAGTGGAATTCCTAAAGTGTAACGTGTCAAATCGTCCTCCATCGTTAAAATGTATACATTATTGGACAGTGTAATCGGCAAGGGCCCTACTATATCCATAAATATTTTTTCGAATGGTTTAGACGAAGTGGATGTAATAGCCATTGGTTGTTTTATGTGTCGATTTGATACCTTATTAACCTGACATGACGCACAATTTTTTATATATTTCCTAACGTCTTCTTTCATACCCTTCCATAAAAATTGTTTTTTATTGCGCTTAATGGTTTTATTCACACCTAAATGTTCGCCTAGTTTTGAGACGTGAAATTGTGATAAAATGACTGCTTTTTCTTCTTCACTATATTCTACATTTGCACATGTAATTATTGCTATATCTGTATTGCAAAATATGTATTGTAACATTGACCTTATTTTTTTCCCTTTCTAAATCATCGTGATCGTGATCGCCTATCTTGCCCATGGCTAATTTATTCAGATTGTTTTTCATACAAAATGATTTTAAATTTATTAGTGATAAATGTATGCTTTCGTAAGTGGCCTTCTGTGGGTATTTATTTTTCGTTACTAAGAATATTATAAACCTGTTTTCCTGTTTGAAATAGGGTGTGTCTCCTATTACTTTACTAGTCGGCAATATTGTACCGTTTCCAAATTGTTTTTTTTAATTGATAATTCGTTCCTGTTTTAAAATTATATTGCTTGGCAATTTCTGATACTATATTATATTTTTTTGGTGAATCTATTAGTGTACCTATAGTTTCTTTTACATTAATATTTGTGATAATTTGTGTTCCTAACTTTTCGATATATTGTTCGTATGATTTGTTTTTTATTTCCTGAGTTGAATATATATGCATGTGAGAGTATCTACATTTGAATTTAGAACTCCGGGTTTGTGACGTATTTGTAATTGATTTGTGTTAGCGGCGAATGAATTAAATGTTATATGATTATTTTCTAAGGTTGAGAATATATGGAATATTCGTGAGTCGGTTGTTCCGCGATAATCTGGTTTATCGTACGAGTACCGCGCCTCTCGTTCGACACGTTTTCGTTTTCCGAATTATTAACGTTTCTACTCTCATCGTTTCTCTTTTTATAACACGAGTCGATATTATGACCAGTTCGATTACAGTATGAACACGTAACTACCTGTATATTATAATTCGTAAGTGGTTGCGTAAAATTTTTCCTATCAGGTGGACGGTTGTTATGGCCATTGCTCGCATAACTAGGTCTCGTATTATTCCTACATCGAGATGCATAATGATTACCATTACAATTATAGCATTTTATTGCTGGCCTATTGATTGGTTGAGAAAAATTGTTTGCACGCGGATAATTATTTGTCCTTACAGGTTTATTTGGTCTAATGTTTTCGTTGTTCCTATTTTCGTAATTCGATCTGCGCTGGTTATAATTTTGTGAATGAATATTCGAATAATGGTTCCTATTTTCCTGTTCTAATCTTAGTTCCACCTGTTCCGACATAGCAAGTTGTTTCGCGATCTCCAGGGTTTTGGGGTTACGAGATTTTACTATTGTTCTAATCGGTTCTACTAATCCTTTAATAAATATCGCTAGAGTTTGTTCCCTTAATATATCATATATAATTTTTGCTTCTGCAGCTTCTTTGCCTAATGTGCTTACGGTACATAACTGATAATATAATTTCTCTACTCTATGACAATAATCGTTTACATCCTCATTGTGATTCATTCTAATCGAATTTAATTGAAGTTGCAACGACGATGCATTGGTTGTCACTTCGAATGCGTCTGTTAAATAAATTTTTATAAACTGCCATTTCGATACATTTTTGTATTTAATCATTTCTAATGCTCTACCCGTTAAACGTGTGGTAATATATTTTACTAGTGTTGGTGCACTATTTGTGTCGACTAGACTTACTGCCATATCGCATGCATTTATGAATTGATAGATATCGTCTATTCCTGTGCATAGTGGAATTAATTTAAGAGCGTCTTCTAATCTTATGGTTACTGCCATTTTTTAGTGCGTGTTATAGGTAAAAATACTAATGACTGATGTTCAAAACTATCTGTAACTTGGCTACGTGTGATTACTCCTGGACTTGAGTTTCTACTTGCGCTATCTCCTAACTGGGTATCTACTATAATATTTAACTGGGCTTTCTGTTGGGCTTCAATCTGGGCTTGGGCTTCTCTCTGGGCTAATAACTGGGCTTCTAACTGGGCTTCTTCTACTACACTAGTGTCATACAATGAATTAGCTACGTTCAAGGGAGATGTACCTTCTTTGTCCATAAATTACTTAGCTACCTATTTAATACGTTAATACTCATAATAATAATAATCAACAACGCCCTATAAATACAATAATAACTTCAATAATATGCCCTATAATAAATTCAATAAACTTCAATAATACTTCAATAATAAAAATGCCCTCAATAAATCAATAAACTTCAATAATAATCAATAATAACTTCAATAAAATATGCCCTCAATAATAAACTTCAATAATCAATAAATATGCCCTCAATAAATTCAATAAAACTTCAATAATAATCAATAAAATATGCCCTCAATAAAATTTAAAACGTTTTACACCATTATACTTATAGTCAACTACTTAGAATTATCTAATATGTCCTAATTATGTTGCATACGTCTATGTAACAAATTTAAATAATTATTCACTCACAATAATGCTGTGTTCCTGGTTGCTGATGACATGCTGACGGATTTGTTGGTACCGCGACGTGAGATATTTGTTTTTGATGGTTCTTCTTGGAGTTGTCTTCTCGGAAGAGTGTACAGTTCTTCTTTGTTGACGGTAGCCTTTGATGGTTGCCTCCCTTTGTAGAATCCTTTATCGACTGCGCCAGTAATAAGATTATAATAGGTATATTTCTGGCACAAGTTGCTATGTCATCCAATTACACCAAAAGTATGCCATATGACATAGTATAAACATGACATTTTTCATCAGTGGCGCTGAACCTTTTTTAAACCATTGGGGTAAACCCTATTTGTGGATACCCCCACCCTCACACCTGAGTCAAATTAAGACTCTCTCCCGGACAAGTTACCCGGTATTGTCCCAGGGCCAGCCTCTTTTCACGAAACATGTTTTTTTATATGGGTACTTATGATCAAAATTTTTTTCAAAATATAAAATTATTAGGTATACCTACTATTAAAATATTTATATTAGGTATGTAAGATAAATTAATATGTTATAGGTATAATATATAAATGTTTGTGATTTCAAGTCCTTAATGTGTAAGCTTAGTTAAATTCATTGTATTAATATTTTATTTTTTTCAAATAGTGTGAGTTTAAATGGAACATAAAGTGTGATGAATCGAATAATGTATCAACGCACAAAAAAAAACAACTTATAAAAAACAACTTTTTATTAAACAAAAAATAATAATACTTAGACATAATGATGTATTATACATTAATAATAATAATATTAACAACAGCATAATACTTGAGTAGCGTAATGCATAAGTAGTAAAAACGAAAACATGCTTACATATGTTTTAAAATTGAAAGTTTTCTATGTTTTATTACTCTTTCTGACATTAAACATCTATTTAAAAATTTAATTGAAGAAAAGATTCTAAACCGAATAAATAAATTTAATAAATAACTATAGTTAAAATTTTCACATGGATGTTTCAAACGAGTATTAATCAGTAAATCTCTTAGTTTGGCCCCAACATTGTCTTCTGTTGCCAAGGAAGAAAAATGTTCAACAAATAGACTTTCTAATTTAAAAATGTAATTATAAAACTCATCATGAGGTAATGTTAACTTTCCAAATGTTGAATTATCATTTGCAGTAGATTTAAAAAAAGATAAAAGAAAGGATGGTTCAATATTTTTTTGAAAATTGGCATAATTTAAACAATCACTGCAAGTATGTTTTTCGAGGCATTTTTTCATAAGATAACCACTGATGTAAGTTAAAGCGTTGGTTTCTGGGATATTTAATTTTCTATAGTCAACTGTACCAATTTTGATGGGATTAAATTTAAAAATACTTTGTGTTACATTACAATAAAATTAGTTTTACTGGGATTGACAATTTCATTAATTGAGGCTGACATTTCATTCATCTCATTGAATTGACATAACACATTATCTAAGTCCTCAATGCAATTTGCATCAGGAGAATGCCTAAAATATTCAACACAAAAAATCTTTTTGAATGCCCAAATAAACTGAATAGGGGTTGGGTTAGTGTTGTTACCGAGTTGTTGACGGATTGTTCCAAACAAATTTTCAAGGCAGTCTTGATTTATACGACCTGTACAAAGAGTATAATCTTTGTTTTGGTCAACGTTTAATGAATTCCACAGCATTTTCAAACCAGATATTGATACCAACCAACCATTTAAAAAGTTTACTCGTTGTGTCATGTCAGTTGCACTTAATTTACTAACAACCTTCATGTTTTTGAACATTTCAGTCATTTTGTTTAAGTGATCTAATTGATGTGAATTATTATTGAAGGGGTCATTAAAAATTTTACTATTAGGTGTATCAGAAGAATTAAAGATATCAAAAAGTTTATCCATATCATTAATGAAATTGATTGTAGGTATTGAATTGTTTGGTAAAATACCAATATTCAATGCTGTAGACATGCCTGCAGCTACACTATGACTAAATACTTGGGTTGCCAAACGAACCTTCATTTTTTCGAAAGGTCCTGGATGAACATGCGAATATGTTAATTTTGGAGCAGTTCGCAAATTGCAATTGGAATCAAAACTGTAAAATTCATCTAGATGCTTTTTATCTATCAAATCATTATTGATTTCAAAATTATGTTTAAAAAACATATTGCGGGTGGATTTCAATAGATGTGGCGGATCAAAAATGTAGATTATTTTTTCACCTTCGACTACAAAATATGGCTCATCTGGAGAAACACCATTTATTTTGGAAAAACTTAAAAAATTTGAACCTTGATCTGTGACCAAACTTTTGACATTAATATTTATATTTTTAAGCCTGCGAATAGTTGAAAAAATTATATTATTTAGATCAATAGCGGTACAGCTGTTAGAAATTAAATAATAAGCAATTGGTTGCTTCCAGTTACAGTTGATTCCTCTTATCATCAGAACAAGAGCATGCTTAGCAGGATCATATGTTCTAACAGATTTGGATTGATTAAAACCAACTATTAGATCTTTTGATACATTGTAGTAAAGGTGAGTCTTAATTGACATTTCGTCTACACAAAGAATGCAATTTAATGCTTCAGGAGAAAAAGTTTTGGTTTTAAATGATAAAAAATGAAACATAAAATCATTAAGGCCAGGTTGGAATTCATATTTAGAAGTGATTTTTCTTAAAGTTCTTATAGTTGGTAAACAAAAATTTTTTTGAAGCAAATGAAAAACGTTAGGACTAAGAAAATAAATAGTAAGAGCAAACTGCTTAATTTCGTTTGAAAATCGTTTTTGTCGAGGACTTTTATCTTTATTAAGAATACTATTTTTTACCACTATAAATAAAGAAGGTGTAAGATACTTTTCAATCAGACGTAAGATATTATCAACCGTGTCTACCTGCTCTAAAAAGTTGTTTAGCTGGTTATTAGATATTTCTAATTTTTTTATTTTTTGTTCAGTCTCTGCAAGTCTCTTTAAAAGATAACATTTTCTTGGCGTTTTCGATGATAAATACCCTGGAGTTTGGGTACTTGCAGTTGCTTCATATACAGGGTGTCTCAAACAGTACTGACATATGGAATAACTTTTTTGGTATTCGATATTTTTTTTTTTTTTTTTGTTTGTTTTATTTGTAGACGCTTGCGCTACATGTTTTATATAAAAAAAAATTTTTTACTTTTTTAATTCTGAAAATAAAAAATTTTAAATTTTATAAAAAATGTATTTGAAAAATTCAAAATAGCCAATTTATAAAGCCGATTTTTAGAAAAATTTTGATGGTTCAAATATTTATAAAAGTGTTGCCGTTAATTTTCTACAAATTATTTAGTTTTTGGAAATATGAACAATTTTTTCCTTTATCATACCAAAATAATCAACAATCATCAGTCATCACTGTTACTAGTATTAATGACTATTATCGATTTATTTTGTTTATCGAGTTTTCATATGTTTTCAGTTATCATTTACTAATATCATTGATGACAATCACAAAATACCTGTTATCAAAATGGCTTATAAAGTTATAGTACTTTTATTATTTTTTCCTCTGATTTTCGTCAGTATTAGCAATCAGTATAGTTGAATCATTTGAGTTCTAATAAATAAATAATTATATTATTAATAACTGTTATTATTTTAGTAAGCTTGTTATTATTATTCAAAAATTCTCGTTATTGTGTTATCAATGTACCCACCAATTCACCATTCATCATTTTAACGTCCATCAAATTTGAGGATTTGTTTCATGTGTCCAAACACTGGAGTGCTTGAAACTGTGAATGCATTATAGATTATTCATGACAAATTTGTCATGGGATTATTTATGTATTACTCACCAAAACAAAATCAAGTTGAACAGTATCTTACAATGCAAGAGTGACACAAATGTTAAAATCGGTCACATACAGAATAAGGTATCATGTCCACATCCATATGTGGCTTAACTACAGAATATTTGCAAAATATATTCCACGTGGTTTCAAGAAATGTTCCACAAATTAAATTGATATACATTTCTAAGAAATTAATCACCATCACGGCATCACTTACAAAAACAAAATTAGTTAAACGAAGTTACCACACTATTGGAGAGTGGAGACGTAAGTATACATAATAGTTATTTTTTTCGGTGGTTTTACGATAGGATGTCTGCAATTTAAATTATTTTGACAATAACATCAACAAACTATTTATGGGTACTAATAAACTATAATACATTTTATTCTTTGATGAAAAAACTACAAAATTAATGAGCTATGTACTTAAAAATATATTTACCTACCTAAAAAATAAATAATTTGAAATTTTTTTTTTATTAAGGAAATAAATGTTGTTTTCTCCAAAACTCTTTAAATGCGAGTAAGTCAATCAATAATAACAGTCGAATTTGAGTATATTGTGACTATATTTCCCAATTGGATCAGCAAATGAAAATTTATATTTTCTGATACATGTTCTGTGTACATTTAAATAAGTATGGAATAATAAATACTTATGTTGTACATTTTTGAACAGACTACACAATAGATAAGTAAGTACGAATATTTTTAACAATAAAATAATTAAATCTAATAATTATATTACCCCTCTTTTTATAGTAGCTTTTATGAAACATGAAATATCAAGTTGGACTACCAGTTTTGTAAATTATGCAGATGAAACTTTGGTTGTATATTTAAAGTAATTAGGTTAAGTTATTGAATTGTAATAAAATAACTAAGACTCATGAGATTTTTTTACATTTAAAATGGATAATTTAATATTTTTCTAATATGAAACTTCTATGCTATATTTGAAGAAATGTATAACATGAAATACCTACTAGTTTTTTCTCATTCTCAAATTCAGATACATAGTGACTGTTCTCATTTTTAAGCCTTTGGGACTTGGTTTTAATGAATGACAATTCTGTAAATAATTATTTTATGTTCATGTAGCATTGTAGGATTTACACTGTGGTTTAGTATAAAATCATATTTTATACAAAAATCACTTAACGAAAAGTTATCTAAAATATTTAAATTGTACATAGATGACATAAAGTGTCCCGTTAACAAATTTAAGAACTATTTATTAAAAAATTCCAATTCGGACAGTTGATTTTCAACATTGTTTTTCGATATTTTAAATTAAACAACTAAGAAACTTAATATTTCAGAAATAAATTGTCACACTGATAAAGTAAACCTTTTTAGTCTATTGCAACTCACAAAAACATTCTAACCTAGATATGAGTAAACTTTCCATCTATTAAGATAGATAGTAAAATATATAAGTAAAATTATTAAGTTCTAAATAGTTGTACAGTAATACAACATTCATAGCCCTCAAAATAAATTGTAATTTACAGTAGTAAATATAAAAAGTGTAACAGAATGACCTGACAAATAAAAATTAAAAATTGATAATAGTAAAAACATACCACAAAAGTTATTAAAATGACATGAATAATAAATAATTTAAGAAATATATTTTATTTATTTATTCCTTAAAAATATTGATATTTAAAAAAATGATTGTAAAAAAATAAACTATTTCACTTAATAAACATTTTTACCTTCAAAATTAGACAAAGTATTAAAAAATGTTAAACTGTACTTGTAGCACAAGCATTTATAAATGATATACATACATATTATACATATTTTACATATAAAAAAAAGTGGTAAAATATTGATTAGAACCAAAGTTATTTCATGTGTTAGGTTATTATGTTACACTTTGTTACTACTTATGTTCATTAAATTTTAATTAATTTATGTTGAGTTGTGGACATGTCAAGTGTTAATATTTTTTATTAGATGTGAACATACCCAAATTCTGCAAATATTTGCATTACGGAAATTTGTCTATATTCTAATGAAACTATTGATAACTAATGTGTTCATTACCTTTTATAAATTATAACCTTTTTTTACATAATGAGATAAGTCAGAAGTAGATGAATTTGGGAGTGATTCCTATTAATTATTATTAGATTTAAGTTTATTTAGAATTTTATATATTTATTTAGACTGTTATACCTACATTTATTTAATAAGTAAATTTTTAGGTAAAAATAACTGTTACCGATTTGTTTTTATCATTGACACCACTTTTTTTATCCTCACAAGTCAACAATTTTTGTTTAAGCAAGTTCTAAAAAATAAAAGCAAATACTTCTTAGTATACATGTATACATGTATAATGTGCCGCCTACTTATACTAATGTAGAGTATTCTGACATGATAGAAATGTTTTTTACTAGTGGTAAAAGTACAGTTCAAACATGTTGCTTATACCTACAAAAATTTCCCAAAAGAAGACAACCTTCACGATCCACGATTACAAATGTTGTACAAACATTAAAAGCTACAGGTAATATTAAAAATGTATAGTCAAAGTATTATGTATTATAACTAATTTATTCAATTTTAACATTTATGATTTTATAAATAAAATAAATAAAAAATAAATAAATAAATTGGTCGGTCCATATTTTTATGATGGCACTCTAAGTGGGCAACGTTATTTAGAGTTTCTAGAAAATACATTGCCGTTATTGATGGAGTGTATCCCTCTTGAAATTCGGAAAACAATGTGGATACAGTAAGATGGTGCTCCTGCTCATAATGCAAAAGTAGTAATAGATTACTTGAACCAGCATTTTCCACAAAGTTGGTTAGGTACCCGTGGTCCACTGGAATGGCCTCCACGATCTCCTGATTTAACTCCTTTAGATTTTTTTTTATGGGGTTACTTAAAAGATAACGTTTATTCAGAACAGTCGACTTCTCTGAATGATTTAAAAGAGCGCATCACTAAAGCATGTAAAAAAGTCACATCACAAATGTTAAAGTCGGTCACATCGTCAATATTAGAGCGATATGAAAAACGTACAGAAAACGATGGTGGGCATTTTGAAAATTATTTAAAATAGATATTAGGTAGCAACTGAATTAACTGATTACTGAACTAAATATTGTTGATGCATGTATGTCATTATTGTATTATTGTTATTAATTCTATTAAACCTTTTTAAACGTAGTAACATAGTAAAGTTTTTTTTTTACTATAACATAACCAGTAATTTTATTATCTCAGTAATGCTCTTATCTATTTCTGTGCATTAGCTGCCGGTGTAAATGGTGATAACTGATAAAAACTCTTAGGAAAATAAATAGTGATTACTACGTCTAATCAGGTATCAGTGATGACTGATGATTGTTGATTATTTTATTATGATATAAAGGAAAAAATTGTTCATATTTCCAAAAACTAAATAATTTGTAGAAAATTAACGGCAACACTTTTATAAATATTTGAACCATCAAAATTTTTCTAAAAATCGGCTTTATAAATTGGCTATTTTGAATTTTTCAAATACATTTTTTATAAAATTTAAAATTTTTTATTTTCAGAATTAAAAAAGTAAAAAATTTTTTTTTATATAAAACATGTAGCGCAAGCGTCTACAAATAAAACAAAAAAAAAAAAAAAAAAATATCGAATACCAAAAAAGTTATTCTATATGTCAGTACTGTTTGAGACACCCTGTATATATTAATTAAATG